ATATCTCACAGGTAACTCTGACAAACCTGACTCACCATGAGATAGGGAACATATTTGCTGCCATAAAACAGGGCCACACCAGACTGGTAATACAAATGTTATCCCACATACTCCTGAAGGGTCCTTCATTCTTTCTACAGTACACAAGCTTCAACTTAGCCTTACTGCCAATTTTGTGAAAACATACAATTCTGGCCCCAATGGAGAACGTAGGGAGGGTTGGGGAACCTGTTTCTGAATAGTGGGAATGTTCACCTTTTCTGTTTCCTCATGAAGTCAACTCCAAACTAGATGCATTACAGCTTCCTGCCTAGGAGACCATGAAACAAATACACACATGCATGACATTTGACTGTGGAAGCTAAGAGGATGAAAAGAGGCTTTTGCATGTGTGTGTGTGTGCTGGGGGGGTCTCCTTCTGTCGCCCAGGCTGGAGTGCAGTGGCCCAATCTTGGCTCACTGCAAACTCCGACTCCGGGTTCAAGCAATTCTCCTGCCTTAGCCTCCCGAGTAGCTGGGACTACAGTTGCGCGCCACCACGCCCGGCTAATTTTTTGTATTTTTAAGTAGAGATGGGGTTTCACCGTGTTAGCCAGGATTGGTCTCTGTCTGACCTCGTGATCCACCTGCCTCGGCCTCCCAAAGTGCTGGGATTACAGGCATGTGAGCCACCTCGCCCTGCTGAAAAGAGGCATTTTTCAGCTGCAATGAACAATATAAAAAGTCAGTTATACTTTATTAGAATAGTTTAGAGCTCAGTCTCTGGATCATGATTTATACTGTGAATACAAGGGAAATTATCTAGGGTTTTCATCTCACCAATCTTATTTGAGGGGCAAATGTTGTCAGCTACATCCAAAACTGAATAATAATTACTCTTTCCAGGACAAAGTGGGACAACAGTACGTAACATGAACAGGAAACTTTCAAGCAATGAAAATAAAAATAATGTTTTGGCTGGGAGTGCTGGCTCAATCCTGTAATCCCAGCCCTTTGGGAGGCTGAGGCAGGTGGATCACTGAAGGTCAGGAGTTCGAGACTAGCCTGGCCAACGTGGTGAAATCCCATCTCTACTAAAAATACAAAACAGCTGGGCACAGTGGCGGGTGTCTGTAATTCCAGCTACTAGGGAGGCTGAGGCAAGAGAACTGCTTGAACCTGGGAGGTGGAGGTTGCAGTGAGCCAAGATTGCACCACTGTACTCCAGACTGGGCGACAGAGTAAGATCTTGTCTCGAAAAAAAAAAGTTTCATTTTACGAACGTGTTGACTTCCCAATTTAGCTTGGCCCCAATTCACCTACATCTTTCACTATTAACAGTACCTCTGAAAAGAGAAGGGGATCTGTGAAGCAATACGAGAACATCAGGCTTAGAATCCACAAGCCTTGGCAATCTCACTTCTAGCCCCTTTAGTTGACTCACTTTACCTTTCTGAGTCTTTGGTTTGTATCTGAAACTGAGAACAATAACTATCTTATAAAAGTATGATAAAAATAATGTTCTGTAACAAGATTCCCTCACCTGTTTGTCCTCAACATTCAAATCACTTGTAGGTAAATGAGCCGAACAGCCTTTAAAATGAAATGTACAAACATACACCAATATATTACCTACTTCATATAAGAATGTCATCTTGGTCAAATATTTTTCAGCTCATCTAATTAGAAGCAAGCAGTTTGTTATTTCCATACTCACGTAACAAATGTTAAAACTAACATTTTATGACTAATGACTGCACTTTATTTATAGTGCTTGCAGAGCAATGGAAAACAGCATACCTAGGTAAAGAACTTCTTTGAAAAAAAAAAAAAAGTCTGGCTATCAAACAACATTCTCCACATGTTTGTTAAGCACAAAGCCAAGAATCATACCCAACACTAAACCAAAGCTGAAGTCACATGATAAAAGTTTACTGTAGTCAATGCAAAAACAAGTTGATACTATTCAGTCCTTTCAATCTGTAGATTGAAACATACCAGCCCAGTCATACTGATATAATGCTGACTATAGAACTGAGCCTGAGACAAAACTGCACACCAAATTATTAAACTATCAACAAATTATGATCCTCAATATGACAAAATATACGATACACTACAACCTTGACTTTTATATAAACCTTAATCACATCTTAAAATTCTTCTTAGCTAGTCAGTAATTTAAAAACCATGTTCACCCTTGTCTATAAATGCATACTTAGATTTTCTCAGTTTTGAACACATAACACTGTTAATTGTCGATGGGATAACAAAATAATGGCCTCAGGATTTTTTAATAACAATGACCTCTTATGGTATACAGCTTTACTATTTAAATATTCCCCCTTCAAATCAGGCATCTTTAGGTGGGTAGAAGGAAGGCTTTGACATTATCATTCCTTCTTATGATTGAGAAAATTATCAACTATTATCAAACAAGTATCTTTTTTCTCAAAAATACTATTATTATATACTAATGAAAAAAATTAGCCCTCAAATTTTCAAAATTACTCTTTAGAAGGCAATCACACCAAAGAGCACATATGTAGCTTTCACCCACAGATGCCATTGGCACACAAACATTAACAGTGAAAGACAGCTTTTGTTTTATTAGAAAGACTTGTACAAAAAATATCAGTTCATGGATTCCACATACTCAAAAAAACTGTCTTCAAATTAATTTAGTTTGGAAGTTTAATATCATCCTCAAAGTTGAAATACCAGTAATAAACAGTATGAAGGTTGTGTAATGATATCCACCAAAACGGATCCATTCCATGGAAACTTTTATATAAAACACCTACTCTCAAATATTATTTCCATCTTTTTTGGCACTCAGAACTAAAATTTGCGTAAGCAGAGCAAGCAATGGAGATTTACCTCACTACATCTTAGTTTTACAAAGATGTGGAAAGCAATATTAGATGCACTAGTTTCACTCACCCCACTTTAGCATCCAGTATGATATATCTTATCGTCTACAACAGTTTCCAGCACAAACCCTCTACTTCCATGCTCCATCTCCCATACCTTTTCATACCATGCTTTTCTTTCAAACTAGATTTATAACTCCTTGACAATAAGCATACTTATTCTTCATTGCTTTTCATTTCCCTCAAAAGAGTATGCAATCTTGGATATTCAATAGGTGTTCAATATTAAACACACTAATTTAAAACGAATTGACAGTATAATCTCAGAACACATTTTATAGACAGGAAAACAAGGACCAAGTTAAGTGGTTGTCCCAAACTCTGTCCCAATTACTCAAGTAGGAGCGGAAGGAATCATGTCCAAATCTAACTCGCAGTCCGGTCTTTCAGTTACGTCATTACCTCCCTCCTTTCCATGTTTTCTTCAAAAGACTAGTCAACTGGCCAACTATTGACTTAAAAGTCATATAATGCACTGAGTTCCAAAAATCGGTAAGATCATCATGTATAGTACCTAGAAATTAAGACCTGGCAATACACATTCATTTTGAAAGGCCAATTTTAAATCTTCAAAATAAACACCAACCTCATTTGATGTGAGAGGGTAAAGAAACAGGAGATTTAATACATCGCTACCATTAAAAGCCATCTCCAACAAATGATGTACCACCTCATCCACTAGTAGTAGTTTTGTTCAGGCTTGGGAGAAATAAATCTAAATTTGACTTACTTAAATTCCAATTGTTCACAACACGGTTTCTAAAAAAGCCTGTCTTGAAAACATATACATCAAACTCATGAACCTAATTTTCACATCAAACCACAAACAGATCAGGGTAATAGTTTTCCACTGATTCTTTTCACGAATACAAAATGCTAATATGATACTCCACCATTCCGTACTAAAGCGACATGCTGCAAAGTTGATTTTGAAGAGGGAAGCTAAAATGTTCACAGCAGAGATCAGCATTTTGTGTACTTTAGAAAACTGAGTTACAAGAATTTAAAAATACAACACACAGCTAATAACTAAATTAGCTACCTGTGTCCCCAATCCCCAGGGGAAAACAAAACGGAATTAGCTAATATAAAGTTTAGGGTTAAGTGGACTACAACATTCTATTTTCAGTGTGAGACATTATTTAAACACTAAGCACAATGTCTGGAATACAATCTCAGTCAACAGTTATTACTACTACTACCTGCAGTCACAAAATACTATGAAGTAACTTTTGCAACAAAGATACAAAATTTACCGCTCTTCCATTTTATGTTGTTCATTTTAAAAAATAAATGGCAAAATGCCAAGTGTGTTAAGCTTAGAGAAGGCTTTGAGTCAGCATATAAATCATAGATTCAAGTGACACTTGATTTCCAATCCAAAAGCTCCTTATGTAGTATGACTCACCAAATTCCCGATTTCTTCCAACTATGAAAAATAAGTTAAACTCCTATCTTATACCTACCACCATGACCTTCGTAGAAATTAGGTTAAGAGAGTAATTTTTAAATTCTTAAAGACACCCCTTACCTTGGTTTCTGGAGAAGATCGCTTAGTGAGTTTAATACAAGCCACCAAGGGGTACTAAAGTTGTGTGACCTTTAGATATGTTCTGGGATATGGTCTAACAAGACTGCCTGTGGGGGATCCTCTGGGCAGCTTTGGACCTAACTAGGCCTGGGTACAAGCGGAAAGACTCTTACTCAGCCCACCGTAGAGGCCCAGGCTCCATTCCCAAGCCGCAGAATCCAAGCCAGCTCACCCTCAAAACCGTCCCCGACACTGACCCACAGGGTCTCCGCTCCCCCTGCCACCTCGTCTGGCGCCAAGGCCGGGAGACTCGAAAACCCAGGAGTCGGGTGAACGGCGCCATTTTAAGCGGCGGTGGCGGCGACAACCAATCCCTGCGCGGGAGGCAGGGGGCGCCGGGTCGCTCGGAAGCCGCCGCCGGCCGGGATGGGCGCCGGTCTCGGAGGCTCGGGGGACCCGGGCCGGAGGCCTCCGCCATGTTGCACCCTCCTCACGGCCGCCTTTTCCTTGGCGGGCTTGGCCCCGCGACAGCTGTCCGCAGCCGTAGTACAGCTCACCTTCTCGCAGAGGCTCTTGACCTGGGACTCGGACAGCTGCTTGCACTCGTTCAGCTGCTCGATCCACTGGTCCAGCTCCTTGGTGAACACCTTCTCGTCCATGATGCCACCCGCCCCAGCCGGCTGCCGCTCCGCGCTGCTCCCGCGCCGCCGCCCGCACACGGGCCACACGCACACGCCGCCGCCGGTTCCTCCTGTACTTCTGGCGGCTTTTGAGGCTGGCGCTGGCCCGCTGGCTCTCACCGCAGTACTCGGCCGTCGGCCGCTGCGCCTCCTCCTCCGCTCGCTGAAGCTCCAGAGCTCGGCTCTCTGTAATGGCGGCCGCCGGGCGTGGTGACGTCACGCCCGGCGTCAGGAGGCGGCGGGGAGCGGAGGGGAAAAGGGCCAGGGAGCAAGCTGCGCAACTGCAGAGCCCACCCCAGGCGGCCGCACGACCGGAGTTGGGGCGCAAACTGGGGGTCAAAGCGCAGGCGCGGCGTAGCCGGTTGGTAACTGAGGCGCCTTGACTTTTTGGGCATGGCTCCCGGAGGGCGAGGTGGTGGGGGAAGGGAAGGATGGAGCTGGAGCATGCGCAGTGCGCACAGCGGTGAACTGTACTAATCCCTTAGCACTAAACCCTGAGAGGAGAGGACTTGGACCGCGCGCAGGCGCAGACCGAGTGGAAACCGGGGCTACTGGCGGCCTGGAACTGGTTCCCATGGGAAGGCTGCTCTGGTGATGAACTCAGCTCCTCACCTGGGGCCTGGCAGCCCGATCACGGAAACGAGAATTGCGACCCCATGGCTCATCCGGGGTGCAGCGGCGCTGTAAACGTGTGGGTTTCCCTCATCTTTGGGGGCAGGAACGGGCAGCGAGTGGCCGCTTGGATTAACCACCTCCACCTCTGGGCGCGGCTGGCACCTTGTAATTAGGTCACTCGTAGGTGGAGGAGCGTGTACCTACCGGGGGAGTGCCGTGCAGTGCATCTGACTTCCCCGGCACATACCTGTCCCCGGACTTAGGTGTCTCGTCCGGCGCGATGGCGGGGGCGAGGTTTGGGCTTTTCTTTGAGCCTCGGACCGCGGCTCGCTTCCACGCGCCCAGCTCCTCGCCCGTGGTTGCTTTCCTCCAAGTTTGATTCCCCCCTGGGAATGAGAAACCCTCAACCGCTGCGCGCCCTGGCCTACTTTTAAGAGGGGAAGCCCAGAGAAGATGGATGCAACTGTCCTGACCGCGTCTCGGTGGCGTTAGAAGCGGCTGTGATCCATGCTTAAAAGAGAGCTCCTATACCCTAGGATTGGACCTCTGTCTGGTTATGAATCGCTTTGGAGTTTGCGAAACGTTTTCACATTCCACTGTCCCTGCTTTTAGATAAATACCTGGTTCCATAGAACGCCAGCTATGTGCCAGAACCAGAGGGGTCATCCAGACGGACCAGGGACCCTGCCCTGGAGCTTGTATTCTCCCAACAGTACTGGCTGAAGATGGTTTAGGATAGGCAGAAGAAAGATCATAATGCCTCCAGGATTTGAGAGATACAGAAGCTTTCCAAAGAACATTTAACCATAAAGGGCAAGGCAAGAGCTGAACCTGATCGCCTATCTTCCAGGCGCCCCACCCTCAGTATCAGGCAACCCTTCCACACCCAAGTGCTCAGCGATGCTTGGGAGGAGAGTGCTCAATCTGCGACTCTGAGGGCGTCATCCCCACCAACAGGCTGAAGAAGGCACTGGAGGTCCCATCAGCCAATAGCAGGACTGAAAATCCTTCTTTATCCAAGACAACCTGTTTGGCGAGGCCGACTGGCTTGGCCTCCCTAGGCTGGAAATTGCAATTCTGCTTTCCCTTCACACCTCCTATTAGTGTGCACAAAAGAAAGTACCTCAGATCTACTCTTCCAGAAGTCTTACCACATACTTAATTTACCAGATTGGGAAAAAGACACTTTAGCCCAAATTCTGTCCCTGCTTTGCAGTTAACATCCCCAAACAATAAAAGGGTAAGAGTTAAGACCAAGTGGAATGAATAAGGAAAAAAAATCATCACTTAATGCCCGTGATTATAAAGCTGTACCCAGTGTGCTGTCTAATCTTATTCTTTACCATTGCCATGAACCTATGTGAGAAATGTCTGATAGGGCAAGAAGCAGACACGCACTCAGAAAAGAGAAGGGACTTGCCCGAGATAGTGGTCAGGATTTAAAACTGCTTACTCCTAAGTACAAAGTCTCAGCCACAGTCATGCAGTTGACCTTCCAAGGTCTGACTTAAGGAACAGAATCAACATAATTTCTCTTTGCCTAGATTGTCTGTTTTTTTTTGTTTTGTTTTGTTTTGTTTTGTTTTTTGCTGGAGTCTCACTCTGTCGCCCAGGCTGGAGTGCAGTGGCACAATCTCGGCTCACTGCAATCTCTACCTCCCAGGTTCAAGCAAATCTCCTGCCTCAGCCTCCCAAGTAGCTGGGATTACAGGAGCCCACCACCATGCCTGGCTAATTTTTGTGTTTTTAGTAGAGACAGGGTTTCACCATGTTGGCCAGGCTGTTCTCAAACTCCTGACCTCAGGTGATCCACGTGCCTCAGCCTCCCAAAGTGCTGGGATTACAGGCGTGAGCCACCACACTTGGCCTGCCTAGATTCTCTTACCTGGAAAGGGTGTGGTGATGTTAGTTTGGTAGATGATGAAGTATTGAACACCCACTATATGCTAAAATTATAATGAGTTTTTCCAAAGTACTGTGAGCTCCTTGTTGGTAGCATTAATGTAGGTGTTATTTATTTTCTCTTGATGCAGATTACTTGGCTCACCACCATCACAAAATGGAGGGAAGATATAGTAATTATATGTACTTAAAACATCCTGCCAAATAATTAAATGCCATGACTTAACTCCTTAAGGAATGAATTCTAGGAAGCTCTTAGCATCAGACAGTGAAGTAAAGCATACATGATCATAAACAATACAGAACTAAATCAGGATATATTTTTCTTTAGAAGAAATCCAGAATGTTTGTGTATTCTGTAGAACTCAAAATATCTAATGGACATGAAAAGAAAAATTAAGTTTGACTTATCTGGACTTGACTAATTTGACCTCACTGACTAAATTCTAGAGCTGAAGAATGTTTGGAACAAAAAATTTAAAGCAAACCAAAAAGAATTATCTTTTTAATTTATCGGTAAACACCAGAAAGTAAATAAAGCAAAAATGCTTTGAGAAAGAATCTTTGCTCAGATGGCAAATTCAATATACAGCAAGTCTGATTGTTGCCCATGATGTTTAAGCATAGCTATAAATAAAAATCATCTGATGATGGGGGCGGGGTAGGAGGAGGATAACCTTGAGCAAATAGCTTTATAACAGGCTCCCTTACCCAAGATATAAAAATTGACATTAAACATGGAGTAGGAATGAGATGTATCTTGTCAGCAATTATCTTGGCATTAAGTCAGGTTTATTTTGTTGTTGTTCCTTCCAGTTCCCTGACTTCTAAACTTACTGAGACAGAAAGTAGACCAGTGTCAGAAACGACTCTGGAGTCAGATGGAACTGGGTTTGCCTACATGTGTGAACTTTGGAAAGTTACCTAACTTTTCTGAGTCTTGGTTTTCTCGTCTATAAAGTGGGGATAAAAGTAATAGACAAATAATGAGGTTATTCTGAGAATTAAATGAAATTATAAATAAATAAAACCAGGCTGGGTGCGATGGCTCACGTCTGTAATCCCCGCACTTTGGGAGGCTGAGGCAGGTAGATCACCTGAGATCAGAAGTTCGAGACCAGCCTGGCCAACCTGGCGAAACCACCATCTCTACTAAAACTACAAAAAAATTAGCTGGGTGTGGTGGTGTGTGCCTGTAATCCCAGTTACTCAGGAGGCTGAGACAAGAGAATAGCTTGAACCGGGGAGGCGGAGGCTGCAGTGAGCCAATATTGTGCCACTGCACTCTAGCCTAGGTGAAAGAGCAGGACTCTGTCTCAAAAATAAATAAATATATAACACCAAAATAGTATTAATTAATGTACAATAAGTGGTAGATATTATTTTTATTATAATTTCTAAGTGGGCTCAGATTTTAAATACATATCCTCTAATGCCAGTTGGAGTCCCTCATATCTGCAGTGAAATACATCGTGGTGTTTGGAAACAGAAATAGAGGTATCAAAAATATCATGTAGGCTGGGCCCAGTGGCCTGTAATCCCAGCACTTTGGGAGGCCGAGGTGGGTGGATCACTGAAGGTCAGGAGTTCAAGACTAGCCTGGCCAACATGGTGAAACCGTGTCTCCACTAAAAATATAAAAATTAGCCAGGCGTCATGGTGGGTGCCTGTAATCCCCAGCTACTCGGGAGGCTGAGGCAGGAGAATTGCTGGAACCTGGGAGGCAGAGGTTGCAGTGAGCCAAGATCATGTCACTGCACTCCAGCCTGGGGGACAGAGTGACACTCTGTCTCAAAATAAATAAATAAATAAAATAAAAACATCATGTAAACACAAAGCCATTTGATGAAGTGGGGATGGGGGGAAGAAATTCAAGGAGAGGTAGAGATGGAATAAACAGAACAACTCCTCTCTTGCCTTGCCATCCATTCAGACTTGCTATACAGAGAAAAAGTTACTTAGGACTAAATCCAAGAATTAATACAATCGGTCTCATGCTCCTGTCAACTCAGAATCTTACATCTGAAAAGGGTACCATAGTTGAAAAGGATAACATGCTCTTTGTACCAAGGCCTTTTATGCCCCAGAAGCCCCAAAATGAAGTCCTGAGCAGTCAAAATTTCAGTGGCTTTGGCCATGGAAAACCTGCCATGCTCTGACCAACGACACCTGCCCAGCTACCAGATGATTTCTGCACTCAGTTTACACAATGATGCCTGCAACTCATTGGCATCTGTCTCTGTTCTTTGTAGTTTTCAGAAAAATTAAGTTTATATTCCCCTTTCACCTGGAATTAGAATTTTATAAATGTAGCCAAAATTTTGTGACCAGGAACTTTGCCACAGATATACTGCCCTTTCCCCCAGCTTCTACTGTCTGGCTAAAGAAAAAAGAGAGAAATGACCATGTCCCCTGGTAATGCCCGTGATGCCTGGATAGTATTCTCAGTTACAAAAGGAGACATTTTTCTGTTACAGGAAAAAAAAAAAAAAACTCTGAAATGGTAGGCAAAGTTCATCACTCCAGAAGGTTGAGAAAACCTTAATAATACTGTCACCAACTCTGTAGCTATGAAAAACTGTATCATGGAAGTATGTTTGATATATAATATTATTCATAACATATTAAGTATTAAAAATACCTTATAAAACAGTATGTGTGATATAACCCCAATTTCATTAACATATGTTGTAAATATATGTTTATAAGAAACTTCAGAAAGCCACACAGTGAAGTATTAATGGTGGTTACTTCCAGTGAGTAGGATTGTTTTTTGTTTCTTCTTTTTGCTAACTTGATTTTTCTGTAATGAATACATAATGCTTTTATAATTATGAAAGAAAATGGCCGGGCATGGTGACTCGCACTTGCAGTCCCAACACTTTAGGAGGCCAAGGCAGGTGGATCACCTGAGCTCAGAAGTTTGAGACGAGCCTGGCCAACATGGTGAAATCTCATCTCTATTAAAAATACAAAAATTAGCTGGGTGTGGTGGTGGGCACCTGTAACCCCAGCTACTCAGGAGGCTGAGGCAGGAGAATGGCTTGAACCCAGGAGGCAGAGGTTACAGTGAGCCAAAATCATGCCACTGCACTCCAGTCTGGGTGACAGAGCAAGACTCCATCTCAAAAAAAAAAAAAAAAAAAAAAAGGCGGGGGGGCTAGGCGTGGTGGTTCACACCTGTAATCCCAGCACTTTGGAAGGCTGAGGCGGGCAGATCATGAGGTCAGGAGTTCAAGACCAGCCTAGCCAATATGGTGAAACCCCATCTCTACTGAAAATACAAAAATTAACTGTACTTGGTGGCACATGCCTATAATCCCAGCTACTCAGGAGGCTGAGGCAGGAAAATCACTTGACCCCGGGATGCGGAGGTTGCAGTGAGCCAAGATCACGCCATTGCACTCCAGCCAGCCTTTTGACAGAGTGAGACTCTGACTAAAAGAAAAAAGAAAAAAGAAACAAAGAAAAATACCAGCATGTTGGGAGGCCAAGGCAGGCAGATCATGAGGTCAGGAGTTCAAGACTAGCCTGACCAACATGGTGAAACCCCCGTCTCTCCTAAAAATACAAAAATTAGTCAGGCGTGGTGGCACATGCCTGTAATCCCAACTACTCAGGAGGCTGAGGCAGGAGACTCGCTTGGATCCAGGAGGCAGAGGTTGCAGTGAGCCGAGATTACACCACTGCACTCCAGCCTGGATGACAGAGCGAGACTGCAGCTCAGAAAAAAAGAAAATGTTAGATACATGAATAAACATGACAAGGCATCTCTTGGGAGAATCACAGGCCCAAAGAACCAAACAACATGTAGCCAATATAGCCAATAGTTCTGCCAAGTATTCCACTATCCCCTGCAGTGTTATTCCAGGGCCCTCACTTTCTTATGGAAAGAAGTCTGAGCTCTCCTATGGCCTTCTCACATGGCCTCTTCTCCTGCCTTCTCTCTCACTTCTATCTCTCCTCAGCTTAGCTGGCCACCTCCCCAAACCAATTCTGTACTCATCCAACTCCATTCCTTCTTTCACCCTTTGCTCATCCTGCCCTGGATCCCTGGATTCCCCCCGGTATCTATATGAACCTTACCTGTCATTTAAGGTCAGTTCAGGCCCCACTTTTCAGAGAAAACTCTGAAAAGTCTTCTCTGGTGGTGACTCTACGTCTCTCTTGGTCAAGAGTACTTAGTAGATTAGCAGGAGACTCTTAGAGACTGGTGGGACAGCACAGACACCTGGTATCAGGGCAGAGCGGTGTGAATGGAGGAGGACTTGTTGGTGAGGAGGACTTGTTGGTGAGTTGTTCCCTAGAGACTTACAGAAACACTGTGGAGGAGAGAGATGCTTTGCAGGGAGCCAGAGGGGAAATCTGTTTATATTTTGTTCTTTATTTTCCAGATTAAGCAGTTTACCAGTATTCTACCTTGATTCCTGACAAAATTTAAAATTAGATTCACCAAAGCAGGTGAATTTCCAAGCACAGAGGTATCTAATTGGTGCTATGAAATTCATTTGCAAAGATAGAAACATAGGTCCATACTGCTCTCCTGTCTGATGGAAAGAAAAGAAACTCTCCTCTCATAGGAGTGTTTGTTCTCTGGCCAATAGAGGGAACACCAAACAGGAAGACCCCTCCATTACTAAGCACTTCTATGCTCATGTTTAAATTGTGATTCTGGAAGATAGTAATGGAGTCGGGTCCCCAGACAAAAGAAGGAACAGATAGTATATTCAGAAAAGAGAAACTGATGGATGATTTAGCATCTATAAGTTGATGGTTAGTTCTTAGAGGAAGGATGGCTAATCAGTTGTCTCCGTCTTTGCAGGAACAGGCCAGAGGAAATGAGCCTCTGTCAAGGGGTAACAATAATAAGGGCCAGCATTTATTAAGCACTTACTATATGTAAAAACTCTTCTAAGTGTTTTCCATGTATTCTTCCTTTTCTTTTTTTTTTTTTTTTTTTTTTTTTTGAGACAGAGTCTCGCTCTTATTGCCCAGGCTAGAGTGCAGTGGTGTGATCTCAGCTCACTGCAACCTCTGCCTCCCAGGTTCAAATGATTCTCGTGCCTCAGCCTCCTGAGTAGCTGGGATTACAGGAGTGCACCACCATGCCTGGCTAATTTTTGTATTTTTAGTAGAGACAGGATTTCACTATCTTGGCCAGGCTGGTCTCGAACTCCTGACTTCAAGTGATCCGCCCACCTCGGCCTCTCACAGTGCTGGAATTACAGGCGTGAGCCACCCCGCCAGGTCATGTTTTCCACGTATTAATACATTTACACTTCACAACTTATGAGGTAGGTACTATTATTATCCTCCTTTTACAGATGATGGAACTGAGGCACAGAGGGATTAAGTAACTTGTCTAAGGTAAAATAGTAAACAAAGGAGCTGGGATACAAACTCAGTCTGGCTTTAGCTCAGGAGAAGTACCAAACTCTTAACTACTGGAGAGGCTTTAGCATCAGATCACAGTGATTTTCATTAAAGAAAGATCTTGACCTTTGACCACCTGACAATTCCAATGCCTAGCAATCTCCAAGGACAGAGCAGATAATTCATGTTCTTACAGGTTCTGACTTGGTGAGCAGCCTGTGGCCCAGCCCCACCACATAAGCCCTCTACTCCCTAAATACACTTGTTCTCTCTTCCACTCTCTTCTCTCCATACCATCCTCGTTTGCCCTCTTTTCTCCTAATGTACCCGCTTTCTTTTTCCTCTCCTTCTTTCCCTCCTATTCCCCAACATGTCCAGTCTGCTGAGATAACTCATAGGCATTATTTGGTTCCTCTTTTGGTACTCAGAATCAAAAAGGCTGCTGGTCCCTGACCTACACCTTTCCAAGCCACCTGTTTGTGAATGAGATCATTCACAGTCCACCACAGGCTGAGCACAGACAGTCTAGGAAGCAATGAAAAAAAAAAATCCTAAAAACAAATTGCTGCTGGGCGCGGTGGCTCTTGTCTGTAATCCCAGCACTTCGGGAGGCCGAGGCGGGTAGATCACAAAGTCAGGAGTTCAAGACCAGCTTGGCCAACATAGTGAAACCCCCATCTCCACTAAATATACAAAAAAATTAGCTGGGCATGGTTGTGCATGCCTGTAGTCCCAGCTACTTGGGAGGCTGAGGCAGGAGAATTGCTTGAATCTTGGAGGTGGAGGTTGCAGTGGGCCGAGATTGTGCTGCTGCACTCCAGCTTGAACAACAGAGTGAGATTTCGTTTAAAAATAATAATAATAATAATAAATTGCCTTATCTAGACTCAGTGTTCTCTGTGCACATCAGGGAATCTCAGTTGCCCTGTTACATTGGTTTGTCTTGCCTTTTTTTTTTTTTTTTTTTTTTTTTTTTTTCTGAGAGGGAGTCTCGCTCTGTCTCCCAGGCTGGAGTGCAGTGGTGTGATCTCGGCTCACTGCAAGCTCTGCCTCCCAGGTTCACACCATTCTCCTGCCTCAGCCTCCCGAGTAGCTGGGACTACAGGCGCCCGCCACCACGTCCGGCTAATTTATTTTTGTATTTTTAGTAGAGAAGGGGTTTCACCGTGTTAGCCAGGATGGTCTCGATCTCCTGACCTCGTGATCCACCCACCTCAGCCTCCCAAAGTGCTGGGATTACAGGCATGAACCACCGCGCCTGACCTGTCTTGCCTTTTTAAATCAAGTAAACAACACAATGTGGACAGCATTCTCTTCCTTTTAGCAACCAGTTGTAGAATAAGGAGAGCTGGGTTCATCCTGCCTCGTCACCATCAATCTGAATGACTTTGAACACATCCTCTCCTATCAGTTTCCCCATCCAACAGTGCAAAAATTGGACTATATTAGAGAGTTCTCAATTTAGGATTCATGGGTAGGTTCAGCGCGGGGGGTCCATCAACTCTCAAAAAATAAGGTATGGGAATTTTGTGTTTTTTAATTGAAATTCTTATTGAGATTAATTATTTATTTATTTATTTATTTACTTACTTATTTTTGAGACAGAGTCTCGCTCTTGTTGCCCAGGCTGGAATGCAGTGGCGTGATCTCGGCTCACTGCAACCTCCGCCTCGCAAGTTGAAGCGATTCTCCCACCTCAGCCTCCCAAGTAGCTGGGATTACAGGCATCCAACATCACACCCTGCTAATTTTTTTATTTTTAGTAGAGACAGGGTTTCCACTATGTTAGCCAGGCTGGTCTCTAACTCCTGACCTCAGGTGATCCACCTGCCTTGGCCTCCCAAAGTGCTGGGATTACAGGTGTGAGCCACTGGGCCCGGCCGAGATTTTATTTATTTATCTATTTGAGACAGAGTTTTGCTGTTGTCACTCAGGCTGGAGTGCAGTTGTGCAATCTCGGCTCACTGCAACCTCTGTCTCCTGGGTTCAAGCGATTCCTCCACCTCAGCCTCCCGAGTAGCTGGGATTACAGGTGCACACCACCACGCCCAGCTAATTTTTATATTTGTAGTAGAGACAGGGTTTCACCATCTTGTCCAGGCTGGTCTTGAACTCCTGACCTCTGGTGATCTGCCCACCTCGGCCTCCCAGAGTACTGAGATTATAGGTGTTAGCCACCACGCCCGGCCTTACAAATTTTAGATTCACATACATTTATAAGAAATAATACAGAGAGATCCCAGTTTCTCAGTGGTAACATCTTGCGGTATTATAGTACCATATCGCAACTTGGAAACTGATATTGATTCAATTCACCTATCTTATCCAGATTTCCCCAGTTTTACATGCACACAATTGTATATGTGTTAGTATGGCTATTTAGTCTGTACAATTGGGAATTTTCTTTTGCCTGTGCTTTTTTTTCTGGGGAAAAGTTCTTAGCTTTCATCAGATTATCTCAGGCATCAGAGATCCAAAAAGGGGTTTGAGTCCCAGCTCTGGGAAATCTAGAAGACCATTCCTGAGCCTCCATAGCTCTCTATTTCAGCAATCAACATTTAATTAGCAATTACCCCACGGCAGGCATAGGAATGCATGTGAGGGAGAGGTGGTGGAGAGGTGGTAGAGAGGGGTGCTGGGAAAGGAGGGGAAGCCTGAAGTTGCATACTACACAGTTCACCGAGCTTGTGCTGAGGGGAGACACACAGTCCAACAGGCAAACAAATTATTTATTAAATATGCACAGAAAAGGGATGGCCTTGTTGCTTGGGGAAGCTGGGGAAGTATTTCCACAGAAGCTGATGGTTTAGTTACATCTTGGAGGATAATCCAGAATTTTTCAGCTGAGGAGAGAAGAATTAATTGTTAAAATCATTCCCTCTAATCAGATCTATTCTAGATGTTTTGAAGAAAACATAGGAAACCATGCCTATATTTGTTTATTGTACAATGTTAAGGTGTCAGATTCAACTCCCGTGTGCTGGTGCTGAGGCCAAGAGATTTTTTCCCCCTGAGTCTGTTTTCCACTATCTTGTCCAAATTGGATACCAGATCCTGTCTGCTTAGCTTGAGAAAGGCATTTTATCTCTGGTGGCTTGATGACATTAGAGCTTATATTTAAAGTATGAGTGATGAGAAGAGACCAAAGCTAAGACCTTGGCTCTGTCCCATCCATAGAGGTCTCTCCTCCTCTGCATCGAAGGCTCTAGAAGCCAGTCCTGCAATGTCTGGTGGGAGCCAGGGCTGGTCAGAGCCATGAGTAAAACATCTCTGCCCTCCAGTTGATTCTCCAGTCAGTAAGATCTCCTATTCTCTCAAGGGCTCATCAGAAATCCTCAGGGGTACAAGAAATAAACATTTAAAGAAAGAAAAGAAAACCTTGGCAGGGGCCAGGCATGGTGGCTCATGCCTGTAACCTCAGCACTTTGGGAGGCTTAGGTGAGCAGATAGCTTGAGCTCAGGAGTTCAAGACAAGCCTGAGCAACATGGCAAAACCCCATCTCTACTAAAAATACAAAAATTAGGCAGGTGTGGTGGTGGGCAACTGTAGTCCCAGCTACTCAGGAGGCTGAGGTGAGAGGATTGCTTGAGCCTGGGAGGTGGAGGTTGCAGTGAGCAGAGATAGCGCCACTTCACTCCAGCCTGGGCAACAGAGCAAGACTCTGTCTCAAAAAAAAAGAAAACAAAAAAAAAAAGAAAAAGAAAAAAAGAAAGAAAAAGAAACCTTCAGGGGCTTGGGCACTGGGGCTCCTCCACGTCTGTCCTCTCTATATTCGCTGGTTAGCTGCCTTGTGTTGGCTCTGGCTCAGGCACCCCAAGGGGGCCTCTTTCTCTTGTGAATTTCAGGTTCCTCTTCAGGCCATTCAGTTCCCAGTACTGTTCTGGGAGAAATCATCTGAGTGTAGCCATCTCTGGGTTTGAGAGACCAAGACTCTACCATTGGGTACTCTTGGAAGAACTCTCTAGAAGCAGATTCTAGAGGGCACCATTTCTTATCATCCGTGTCCTCATGCAAGCTGTTTATCCCTTTAAATCTTAATATCTTCTTCTGTAACATGGGGATCATAATAGCAGTATCCTCATAGGATTATTTTAAGCTTTAACTAAATTAATCTCTGTAAAATTATTAGCATATGATAAGTACGCTATCTACATTAGTCGTTACTAATATCTATTTTTATAATATGATTATTTTTGGTTATTAAAAAAACCTTCACGGCTGGGTATGGTGGTTCACACCTGTAATTCCAGCACTTTGGGAGGCCTAGGTGGGCAGATCACTTGGGATCAGGAGTTCGAGACCAGCCTGGCCAACGTGGTGAAACCCGGTCTCTACTAAAAAAAAATACGAAAACAACAACAACAACAAAACATCTTCAACAAGAAAAAACAATTAATCTTCACTATAGCAAATTTGTGAACTACTGCAAGTTTAAGGAAGGAAGAAACAATCATAACATACAGAGATAAGTGCTATTATCATTTTGACATACAGTATTCCCAGCTTTATTTCTTCTTGCTTTTTTGTCTCTCTCTCTTGTTTTTGAGACAGAGTCTCTCTCTGTCGCCCAGGCTGGAGTGTAGTGGTGCAACCTCGGCTCACTGCAGCCTCTGCCTCTGGGTTTCAAGTGATTCTCCTGCCTCAGCCTCCCTGAGATTACAGGCACAGATCACCACGCCTGGCTAATTTTTTTTTTTTTTTTTTTTTTTTTTTTTTTTGTGGAAGTGGGGCTTTACCACGTTGGCCAGGCTGGTCTCAAACTCCTGACCTCTAGTGATCCACCCACCTCAGTCTCCCAAAGTGCTGGGATTACAGGTGTGAGCTACCGCCATACCAGCTGGGTTTTTTTTGTTTTTGTTTTTTGTTTGTTTGTTTTGAAGCATGGTCTTGCTCTGTAGCCCAGGCTGGAGCGCAATGGCATGTTCACAGCTCACTGCAGCCTTGACCTCCTGGGTTCAACTGATCCTCCCACCTCTGCCTCCTGAGTAGCTGGGACCACAGGCGCTCACCACCGCGCCTAGTTAATTTTTGCATTTTTTGTAGAGATGAGGTCTCACTATGTTATCCAGGCTGGTCTCAAACTCCTGGGCTCAAGCGATCCTCCACCTCAGCCTCCCAAATGCTAGGAATACAGATGTGAGCCACTGTGCCCAGCCCTTCCTTCCCAGCTTTTTTGGTGCATATACATACTTAGGGAAAATAAAAAGCTGGGTTCATAATGTGTACTGTGTCATTCAACTGACATATTATGAGCATTTTCCCATATACTTAGATACTATTAGAAAATAATATTTTTAGAGACTACCTAGTTTTCTAGCACATTGATATAACCCAATTTATATAACTAATCTATTAGTTTGGTATTAGATTATTTAGATTATTTCCTATTTTTATATTTATAAATACTGTGGTAAATGTTCTTGTTCATACATTTTTGTATGCATCTCTGCTTATTTCCTTAAGATAAATGCTTAGAAGTGAATTGACTGACTATACAAAAAGCTATACCCTGTTTTTGTTTTTTTAATGTCAGGTATACAGAATTAGACTAACCAGAATGCTTGGTTCATGGTCCACTCTCATAACTGGTATATAGATGGCCTGGTTTTGTTAATTTAGTGGTAAATTCATTTGTTTAATAATGTAATCAGTACCTGTGAATTTATAACCCCAAACAAAAGCTAGCACCTTGACAAAACTGATATCCAACCATAGCTCCTCCTGCCCCCACTGCCCCATCTCCTTGCTCCCCACCCCAGACAACCATCCTGAATCCTGTGCTCATTTCCTTGCTTTCCTTTTTATATGGTTTTATTATATCTGTATATATTCCTTCTTTTTTTTTTTTTCTTTTTTTGAGACAATGTCTCACTCTAATGTCCAGACTGGAGTGCAATGGCGTGATCTTGGCTCACTGCAACCTCTGCCTCCTGGGTTCCTGCCTCAGCCTTCCCAGTAGCTGGGATTATAGCCACGTCCCACCACATCTGGGTAACTTTTGTGTTTTTATTTTTTTTTAATATTTATTTATTTATTTGTTTGTTTTATTTTGAGACAGAGCCTCGCTCTGTCACCCAGGCTGGAGTACAGTGGCACAATCTCAGCTCACTGAAACCTCCACCTCCCAGTTCAAGCGATTCTCCTGTCCCAGCCTCCTGAGTAGCTGGGACTACAGGCGCGCACCAACATACCTGGCTAATTTTTGTATTTTTAGTAGAGATGGGGTTTCACCATACTGGCCAGGCTGGTCTCGAACTCCTGACTTTGTGATCCGCCTGCCCTGGCCACCCAAAGTGCTGGGATTACAGGCTTGAGCCACTGAGCCCGTGCAGGCCCGACAACTTTTGTATTTTTAGTAGAGATGGAGTTTCACCATATTGCCTAGGCTGGTCTCGGAGCTCCTGACCTCTGGCCCACCTCGGCCTCCCAAAGTGCTGGGATTACAGGCATGAGCCACCGCGCCTGGCCAATATCTGTACATATTCCTAAAGAATAGTTTTTAAATTGTTCTGAGGTTCATAAAAAAGGATATTATGTTGTATGTAATCTTTCAGGATTTTTCACTTGATATTTTGCTAAAATCCGTCTATATCCTTGCATTTCACTGTAGTTCATTCATTTTGACTGATATAAAATAATCCAATACATAAATATACCACATTTTATCATCTACCCTCTTACTGATGAGCAGTGCATTGTTTAGTTTTGTTCTTGCACATGCTGCTGTTATGAACATTATTGTCAATATCTCCTGTTGTACTCGTGCAAGCATTTCTCTAGACAATCCAATTGGCCTTCCCCAGCCATGGATAGAGAGAGAGGCCCCTGGATCCATATCCTCTGGTATTGATGTTTCCATGGTTTGGGATCTATGTTGTCGGGTTGCTTTCCAGGTGGTTAGATCAGTTTGCCTCTCCTCCAGCAGTAGTAGGAGAATGCCCGTAGCCCCAAACTCCTTCCAACACTGGGAGTCTTTAAAAGATTTTTGACCATTTGATAGGAGAAAGATAACATCTCCCTGCTGTTCAACTTTGTGGTAAGGTACTAACTGTTTCGAAAACTGAGCAAGAAGGGATTTGGTTCAGAGAATCGTTCCCAGTCTGATAATTTCAGTGATATTTCTGGAACTGATTACCCAGTGGCTCAGATGCTTTCCCATGTCCTAAAAGAGGTGACACTGTTGGAAGGAGGGAGTGAGGGGAGCCAGGATGGGAAACAAGTCTAATCACCACAGTGCAAGCTTGTCTTCTGGTCCCAGCCCCTGCCAGTGTCAGATCCTTTTCTTCTAATGAAATAGGCATTATCTCCCCCTACTCCCCACCGAGAAAGCCAGTATAATTCTATCCTTTGTTATTTGAATTGATAAATTTAAACCTCCTTCCCTCTCTGCAGTAAAAGAACTTTCTATTTTGGGCTCGGTGACATAGCCAACACTAAGCAGAGAGCAGCAGGCTGCAGCATGAGTTAATAGTTTTTCTTCAAGGGAGAAGCGAATCCATAAGCAAACAGAAGGCCCTTCCAAACTTCTGTCGTCTGCATAGCAACACAGCCCATTCGCCTCATCTTTATGCTGGCGGATATATTTCTGAAAGGCTGAAAATTGAATACTGCCTAATCTTCCAGGAAGCTGGTGCATTAATTCTGAATTAATCAGGTTTTCTTAATTCAAATCCATTTCCCCCTCTCTCCTTCCCTGTGTACCTAACACTGGATTAGGTCTGGCTCAGGGGAAGGGAATTCTGTTTTCAAGTGGATTTCTAGTCACCAAAGATTTGAAGAGTGCCCAAAACATTTTCCTAAGAATATGACTTCCTCTGCTAGTCTGTTTCCATGCATGAAATCCCCATATTGAGGTAGAATCACAGGTCTTAGAAGCCCCCAGGCATGCATGAAGGCATGTTCAGAAGAAGAGATATCTCTTTAAACCATTGGCCCCTGTTAGTATGTAACTACAGCTTGGAAGAATGGGATAGAGAAGTAAGTCCTCCCCTCATCTCTTTTGTTAAATTTTTTCTTATGGGAAATTTCAATACTCACAAAAGTAGAGATAATAATATAATAAACTTCCAATACTCACAAAAGTAGAGATAATAATATAATAAACACCTATTACCTATTGCTTGGCCTCAACGATTAACAGTATATGGCAGTCTTGTTTTATCTATACCCCACCCCCCCATCATCATTTTAAAGCAAATTTTAAAGTAAATCATGGTTATCTTCATATTTAAATACTATAAATTCTGTGATAAATAAGGACGTTTTTCAATAACCACTATGTCACATATAAAACAATTAAAAATAATTCCTAATGTTAACTGATATCCAGCCAGAAATCAAATTGCCCTGATTTTCCTAAATGTCATTCTGTAATAGTTTATTCTAATCAGGAGCAAAACAATATCATTTGCATTTGTTGTATCTCTCATGTCTTTTTTAGTTTATAACGTACATATGTATATGTGTGTGTGTGTATATATATGTGGGCATGTATATATGTGTGTGTATGTATCATTTTTGTTGTTTGTTTTGTTTTTGTTTTTGAGAGAGGATCTCTCCCTGTTGCCCAGGCTAAAGTATAGTGGCACAATTATAGCTCACAGTAGCCTCAAACTCTTGGGCTCAAGCGATCTTCCCACCTCAGCTTCTCTAGTAGCCGGGACTAAGGAACATACTCCCATGCCCAGGTATTTTTTTATTTCATCTTTTCTGGAGACAGGATCTTACTGTGTTGTCCAGGTTGGCCTTGAACTCTTGACTTGAAGTGATCATTCCACCTTGGCCTCCCAAAGTTCTAGAGATTACAGGCATGAACCACTGTGCCTGGCCTTAATTTATAACAATTCCTCCTTTTTTTATAGCCCTACTTTTTGGTGTTGTTGAAGATAATGGGTCTTTTAGTTATTATTGCTGTGTAGCAAGCCACCCCAAACTCAGTGGCATAAAATAACAACCAATTTATTGTGCTTACAGAGTCTATGGGTCAGGAATTCAGAAAGGGCACAACTGGGGATGGCTTCTCTCAGCTCCAAGCTGTCTGGGGACTCAGCTGGGAAGACTCTGTCACCCAGACTGGAGTGCAGTGGCGCCATCTTGGCTCACTGTTTACTCACGTGTCAGTAGCTGGGCCTGATGCATTCAAAAACTAGGACTGCTGACCACAGCACCTACACATGGCCTCTCTCTGTGCCTTGGCTTTATCACAGAATGGCAAGTTAAACCTCTTACATGGCAGCTTAGGGCTACAAATGCAAGTGTTCTAGTCACAAGGTGGATGCTGTGTCACTTTTCTTTTTGAGATGGAGTCTCACTCTGTCACCCAGACTGGAGTGCAGTGGCGCCATCTTGACTCACTGCCACCTCCGCCTCCCGGGTTCAAGCGATTCTCCTGCCTCAGCCTCCCGAGTAGCTGGGATTACAGGCATGCACCATCACACCCAGCTAATTTTGTGTATTTTTAGTAGAGACAGGGTTTCACCATGTTGGCCAGGCTGGTCTTGAACTCCTGACCTCAGGTGATCCACCCACCTCGACCTCCCAAAGTGCTGGGATTACAGGTGTGAGCCACCATGCCTGGCTGCTTTATCACTTTTTATAACCTAACCTCAGAAATCACAGAGTGTTAGTTTTGCTCTTCTGTTGGGTACAAGTCACAAGCTTCCCCAGACTCAAAGAGAGTGGAATCAGACTCTACCTTTAGAGTAGCAAAGTTCCAAAAGAGCCTGTGGGGTGGGCAATATTGTTGCCCCATTGGAGATTAGGACCATCCATTGAGCCTTTCTTCCACCAGCCAGGAAAGATGTTGCAAACAGTGGAAGCCTGGTGGAAGAGAGAAAGGGTGGAGTTTGTTTACAGGGCCATATCCTACAGTTGTACATACTGTGCCATGAATAGCCAAGGAGATGAGCTGAGAGGAATCCAGCTCCACTTGCCACACCTGTGCCTTACTGTGGGGCCGCATCTCCAGGATGAAGAAGCACCTTTTCTAATATGCATAGATACCATATAGGCAAGAGGAGTCCCCAAGTGGATGGTAAAAGGTCATTCAACCTAACTTGAAATTATTGGATATCTATTGAACACATGCTACTTCAGAGAATACTAGGGCTTGTTTCAGTTTAAGCAGCACACACAAGTAGGCCAAGAAATATCTTAGAGTATCTCAAAAATGATGCTGGGTTTACTCAAATGTTGTTTTAAAATTGTGTAACTATTTTTTATTTTTTATTTTTTTGAGACAGACTCTTGCTCCGTCGCCCAGCCTGGAGTGCAGTGGCGCGATCTCGGCTCACTGCAACCTCCACCTCCCAGGGTCAAGCAATTCTCCTGCCTCAGCCTAGCGAGTAGCTGAAACTACAGGTGACCGCCACCACGCCCAGCTAATGTTTGTATTTTTAGTAGAGACGGGGTTTCACCTTGTTGGTCAGGCTGGTCTCTAACTCCTGACCTCAGGTGATCCACCCGCCTCGGCCTCCCAGAGTGCTGGGATTACAGGTATAAGCCACTGCGCCTGGCCCTAAAATGGTGTAATTTTTAGCAGCAGGTACTTTTTATTTATTTATTTTATTTTGTTTTAAAGTTAGGATCTCACTCCGTCACTCAGGCTGGCGTGCGGTAGCACAATTCATAGCTCACTGCAGCCTTGAACTCCTGGCCTCAAGTGCTCCTCCCACCTCAGGCTCCCAAGTGGCGAGGACTACAGATTGTGCCACCATGCTAGGCTAATTTTAAAATTTTTTGTAGTGACAGGGTCTCATTGTGTTACCCAGGCTGGTCTTGAACTCCTGGGTTCAAGCAATCCTCCTTCCTCAGCCTCCCAAAGTGCTGGGATTACAGGCTTGAACCACTATGCCTGGTTCCACCAGGTACTTGTTGATTGCATTGGTCTGGAATGTTCTAGACCTATCTTTGAAGAAGCTGAGGCACTGTATCTCAATGCCTGAGGGCCTAGCCCTATCCACATCTTGCCAACCTTGGCTCGATGCAAAAACTGGGCACAGGATTTCTAGGAAACCAGGCCAAACAGAATTAAGGGTTTTCTTTTATTCTTGGTGGTGCCTATTCTTCATTAACATAGCGTTTACATTTTGGTTAGATCCCCAGGAAAGTACATGCTTTCATTTCTGTTTATGGGCATCAGGAAACTTTTTTTTTTTTTTTTTTTTTTTGAGACGGAGTCTCGCTCTGTTGCCCAGGCTGGAGTGCAGTGGCGCGATATTGGCTCACTGCAAGCTCTGCCTCCCGGGTTCATGCCATTCTCCTGCCTCAGCCTCCTGAGTAGCTGGGACTACAGGCGCCCACCACCATGCCTGGCTAATTTTTTTGTATTTTTAGTAGAGACGGGGTTTCACCGTGTTAGCCAGGATGGCATCAGGAAACTTTAAAAAACTACAGATAAAGCAAGGTAACTTTCAAGTATTTTAAAGAGCAGGAAAAGCCAGCACAGTGGCGTCCAGCTAGTAGTGCTAGCTACTCAGGAGGCTAAAGTGGGAGGATCACTTGAGCCCAGGAGTTTGAGATTGTAGTGTGCAATGATTGTGCCTGTGAATAGCCACTGCACTTCAGCCTGGGCAACACAGTGAGACCTGTGTCTCTTTAAAAAAAGAGCAAGATAGCAAAAGAGCAAGATAGCATCATATATCCCTGAGTTTGATAAAGGTCAGCATAAGGCAGCTTACAGAATGCAGGTGTAAATTTCTGTCAATGAGATTATTAAAAAGCTATGATCGTGCTGTTAAAGCCATGCTGGTGGTCAACAGCTGGGTTGAGGGAAACCTCAAATGGCAAGGCCCAGAGCACTTCAGAAAAAAGAGAAATTATTAGGCCTTAGGTATAGAGTATTAAGTTAATCGCACTTTTCGGTTCATGGCTCATTATACTATGATCAGTCCATTCCAGGCCCCTTTCTTTTCTTTTCTTTCTTTCTTTATTTATTTTTTTGAGACGGAGTTTCTCTTTTGTCACCAAGGCTGGAGTGCAATGGCGCAATCTCGGCTCACTGCAACCTCCACCTCCTGGGTTCAGGCGATTGTCCTGCCTCAGCCTCCCAAATAGCTGGGATTACAGGCGCCCACCACTATGCCCGGCTAATTTTTTGTATTTTTAGTATAGATGGTGTTTCACCATGTTGGTCACACTGGTCTCGAACTCCTGACCTCAGGTTATCCACCCGCCTCAGCCTCCCAAAGTGCTGGGATTACACGTGTGAGCCACCATGCCTGGCCCTAAGGCTCCTATTTAATGGATGGATGGATGGATGGATAGATATCTTCCTATCCTCAGACCTCTCTCCAGTCCTTTCCCATAGGCAACCATTCTCATATATTTAATTATTATATATACATGTATGTATATGTATATATTTTTGGTTTGTATGTATGTGTTCATGTGAAGTGTTGTCATGCCCAGGGTCAGGTTCTGGCCCTGAGGTCCGAAGGCAGTGGGTGGATGGGTGGCAGATAGCTGAAAGAACACTCAGGGGGCTGCAGGCAGATGAAATATGGTTTTATTCAGCAGCTCTCTTACACTGTCTGTCTCTGTCTCAGCTGCTTGCTCTGGCTCTGCGGCTCCTGCCACTCCCACATACAGCTGCACAGCCAGCTCTCCCTACAGGGTCAGCAGCTTAACTCTTTCTCTCTCTGGGCACAAGCCAAGCCGAGCCCTGGCTCCTCTCTGTCCATCTACAAGATGGACAGCTTTGGCTGTCTCTCTCCTTCTCTGGGTGCGTGCTGTATGCACAGTGTCAGCAAGGCAGTTATACCTTTTATGAACAATAGTGGCACCGAGCTAGGTGATAAGCCTTCCCATGTTATGGCTACATAGCTGTGATTATATTACAAATGGAGTTATGCACCGGTGCTCCAATCCCGCTGAGTCATGCAGGATGTTTACCTTGGCCTATCCTTGACAAAAGCACATCCATGTACCTTACAAGTGTGTTGTTTGGTTTGCAGGTATTTTAATTTACATTAGTATTATTGTGTTATATATCTCATTCTGTCTTCCTTTTTTTCATTTCTCACTTTGTTTTTAAGACCTATATATGTTAGGCCGGGCATGGTGGCTCATGCCTGTAATCCCAGCATTTTGGGAGGCCAAGGCAGCAGGATCACTTGAGCTCAGGAGTTGAAGACCAGCCTGGGCAACATGGTGAAATCCTGTCTCTACAAAAAATACAAAAGTTTGCCAGGCATGTGGTGCCTGCCTGTAGTCCCAACTATTGGGAGGCTGAGGTGGGAGGAACAGGAGGTCAAGGCTGCAGTGAGCTGAGATCATGTCACTGCACTCCAGTCTGGGCAACAGAGTGAGATCCTGTCTCAAAAAACAAAAACAAAAAAGACCCTATACATGTTGCTATGTACACATCTAGTCCATGATTCTGACTGCTGCAGAGTACTGAATAGTGTGCACCCACCACATTTGTCCTCTTTGCTTCCCCAGTACTGGGCACTCCCAAGTGCCTCCAACTTCCCACCACCAAGACAATGCTGCCATAAGCAGCTGCTTGTGTGATTCATTTTGCGCCCATGTGGGAATCTTTAGGCAGTCTCTCGCTTATATGGTGTCTTTATGTGCCTCAGAAAAGGCACCTTTTTGGCTGGGCATGGTGGCTTGCACCTGTAATCCCAACTTTGGGAGGCCAAGACAGGTGGATCACAAGGTCAGGAGTTTGAGACTAGCCTGGCCAACATAGTGAAACCCCGTCTCTACTAAAAAAAAAAAAACAAAAATTAGCTGGGTGTGGTGGTGTGCGCCTGTAGTCCCAGTTACTCGGGAGGCTGAGGCAGAAGAATCACTTGAACCTGGGAGGCAGAGGGTGCAGTGAGCCGAGATCGTGCCACTGCACTCCAGCTTGGGCGACAGAGCGAAACTTCTCAAAAAAAAAAAAAAAAAAAAAGGCACCTTTTCCTCCTGGAGGATGCAGCCCCAACAGTAAAGCGAAGGTTCAACAATGTGGAGCTGAGGTTGGGTTTCAGCTCCTACTCACTCCCTCAGGTGGAGCCTAGTTAAGGATACAGTCTGTAAAAGTAGGACGTGGCCCCTCATTCTCACTTCCACCAGGTTTCTGTTCACAACATCTGTCCTGGTTGATATTGGAAAGGGAAGGGTGTCAACTGACACCAAAATCTCATCATAGAATATGCATATACTTAATTTGACCAAGCAGTGCCATATTGCAAGAGCACTTTACACATGGGCAGACAACACAGTTTATGTGCATTCCACAGGAACTGGAAAGTCAGGTATGGCTGCAGCACACTGGTGGTAGAGCAGATGTGCCTGCCTGAGGCCAAGGTACTGCTCTCGCCCACTTTGTCTTGGAGATGACAGAGAAACATCTTTTCCCTTAACACTACTGTCTTCTCATGTGTAGGACACAGGCAATGTGACTGGCCTTATATACCCAGGTCAGCGGCTCTGAGTGACTCCACAGGTGGTGGAGCTCTGGTCCTGAGCCATCCTGTCTTTGTCCTTTGGTGAGCCACCTGTGCCAGACACAAATAGGGACGGACAGTTCCCACTGAAGGACACCAGGGCAGGCATAGATTCAGCCATCCAGAACAGTTCTATTAAACTGGTAAGGTTTAAAACCCATCAGAAATTCTTAGAATTCTTGAATTGATCTGAATTCCATTCAGACACATTTAAACGCTCTTAAAACAACCATGTATGGAGGTAAATGAAACATCTAAATTATAAAGAAAGCTGTTACTCATTTTCATGCTGATGTTTTCTCATGTCAAATGAGGATAATCACAATGAGAACTTCTACAGGAAGACAGAAGACACAATTCATGATATTTTGGGAAGAAATCAATGCATTTTTCAGGGAATTTCTGAAGGAGGATCCCAGAAATCAAACAATGACTATCTTTCTTGTGCTTGTGAACTTAGAATTACACCTCAGGACTTACCTGGGTAACAGCCCATTATGCAAGGATGTGAATCACTCTGAATACCACAGCTATGACTATTATTATGGGCAATTATAAGTAAGCAAGGAGGTGGGCTTTGTAAAACAGTACAAAGGAACAGAGGGAGAAAGGTATGTGCATAAACAAACAATCAGAATCCAGAAGATATTGACTACCAAGGGGGCCTAAACATAAAAACCGTAACATAAGCTCGGCATTCAGAAAGATGAGCAAAGGTTAAAACCTGGAGACAGCTGCTATGTGACAAGACAGACCCAGAGATTCACAAATGGCCTGGGTGGTTCCCCTAAGACAAAGACATCCACCATCCAGTGGTGCCTGA